GTAGCTTATTCATATTCCAGTTTTCCCACATCCACTTCAACATCCATCATTTTCCTTTTTTGTTCTATTAGCCAATCTGATAGGTGTGAGGTGGTTTCTCTAATCAGTAGTGTTTTAGAGCATTTTTTCATATGACTGTAGATGGCTTTGATTGTCTGAAAACTACCTGTTCATATTCTTTGACCATTTATCAATTGGAGAATGACTTGTATTTTTATGACTTTGACTCAGTTCTCTATATATTTGAGAAATTAGGCTGTTATCAGAGATGTTTGTTGTAGATTTCCCCTACAGTTTTCTGCTTTCCTTTTAATTTTGGTTGCATTTGTTTTGTTTGTGCAAAAATTTTTTAATTTTATATCATCAAAATTATCTGTTTTACATTTTATAATGCTCTCTACATTTTCTTTGGTCCCAGATTCTTCCTTTATTCATAGATCTGACAGATAAACTTTTCCATGCTCTCCTAATTTGCTTATGGTATTACCCTTTATGTGTAAAACAGGAAAAGTAATTCTTTTTATTAGTTGAATTAGACTTTCTAGTTTTTAGGGAGATTACATGGTATGTGTTTTCATTTATATATAAAATAGACAGGTCAGTATTTCAATTCTTTGAGAATTTTGTACTAGGATTATGGTTTACTCCTTTCTTCAGAAATGGGATAACTTAAATTTTTTAAATTGTTTTTGCTTTTTGTGTTAACAGAATTTCTTCCAACAACTTTCCCTATCACCTTCCCAGGGAGCTTACCTCATATAACAAATAATTGTTTTTTAAAGGAAAAAAAAAAAGAAAACCACTCAGCAAAACAGATCACTACAAATGGTATAATTCTTAAAGAGAACAGACTAATCAAAGTAGAATTAATCACCATAATGCTTCTAAGAAATGTTAACATTGTCCTTTTTTACTCAGTACCTTCAGACTTATTACCTACAGACTGATTTGGAAACTCAGACTGATCATCTCTAGTGTTATATTTTTGATGGTTGTACATGCTTCTTTCAAGAGACTTATTTATACGAATTGAGGATTGTCCACATTTATGAAAGCTTCTTAGAGGATTCATTTTATATTTTAAGATTTTGTTAAAATACAAACTAATAATAAAAGACTATTCATTTAAAGAATTAATAAAAGTTAACTTGTAGAGTTGAACTGGGTAGCAAACAGCCTTGCCTACATTGAAATAGATTTTTTTTTTAAGGTAGGAAAAACTATGATTTATTTTTTTAAAAGAACATTTACATCGAACAGCAAAAGATCTATGGAATGTAGTGTGCACTTAGAAAAATTTTGGAAAGGCACAGGATAGACTCTTCCATGCTAACTGGAAAGATCCTAAACCTCTGCTTCCTTAATTTTGTTATCTAAAATATCATTTGGAAAGTTTAGCAATGTACCTCAGCAGAAATTTTTTTTAAACACATATTAAGAAAGTAAAAGCTTACATTTAATGAGTTTAGCATTATAGAATTTTTTATTTTTTAAAAAAGAGATTTTTATTTTCAGTTTTTCTCCTTCCAGCCTGTCCCCCACCCATTGGGAAGGCAAATAATACAATGCTAATTATACATATGAAGTCATGCAAAACATTTCTGCATTAGCCATGTCCTCCCTCTCATCCAAGAGAAATAAAGGAAAAAAAATATGCTTTGATATACACTCTGAGACTATCAGTTCTCTATCTTGAGGTGGATAGCATTTTATATCATGAGTGCTTTGGAGTTGTGGTAGATCATTGTATTGGTCAAAGTTACTAGGTCGTTGACATTGATTATCTGTACAATATTGCTGTTACTGTGTAGATTGTTCTGGTTCTGCTTGCTTTATTTTCTGTCAGTTCATATAAGTCTTTACATTTTTTTCTGAAACCATCCACTTCATCATTTCTTATAGCACAGTAGTATTCATTACATTTTTATATCATAACTTGTTCAATCATTCCCCAGTTGAGGGGCAACTCCTCAGTTTCCAATTCAGTTTCTAGTTCTTTGTAACCACAAAAAGATCCTGCTATAAATGTTTTGGTACCCATACGTCCTTTTCCTTTTCCTTTTCCTTTGATCTTCTTGGGGTATAGACCTAGTAGTGACATTGTTGAGTCAAAGGGTATGCACAGTTTTGTAGTCCTTTGAGCATGGTTGCAAATTGTTCTCTGGAATAGTTAGACTAGTTGACATCTCCCCTAGCAGTTCATTAGTGTACTAATTTTTTTTCTTTAAAGCAGTGTTAAAGGATACTTATTAGGATCATCTTGCAATTAATATCTAGTTAATATTATAATGAACAAGCTAACCTTATTCCAGATGTCATATTTCTTTGTTTAGGAAGTTCCTTAATATTTAACCTTTTCTTTTTTCTTTTTTTAACATTAATTATTCCCTTTTTTTCAATTTTCAGTAAGGGAGTCATTATTGATTTAAAGAATTTATGAAATATTTTTCTTACCTGAAAGAGTTAACATATACTGTTGCTCCACCTCAAGTCCAGCAACTGTCACTGTTTTAGGTCATGAAATCTTTGTTTCATGATGAATTCTGAGGATGAGAGGACTGTGTATTTAAAGACATAATTGATTCCCCAAGTAAACAGGTAGTGATTTCAGTCTGCAAGCAGAGCTTTACTCCAGAAGTCATTGCAGTATTTTGTCAGGACTTTTCTTCCTCCTTGATTTCTGAGGTTCTGCCTGGATTTAAGGATTTCAGTAACAGTATTTTATTTTATTTTTTAAAATTCGGTCAACATTTATTAATCACCTGTTGAGTGTAATTCATTTTAACTGATGAAAACCTTACTAATCTCAGTCAGATTAATGATTAAAACTGATGGATGATGAAGGGGCAGAATGTCTTTGATGACGACTGAAGAATATCCCTTCTTAGTTTTTTTTTTTTGTTCTTTAAGGTAGATTGAAAATTTTTTTTTATTAATTTATTTTGATTTCTCAACAATCACTTCCATAAGCTTTTGAGTTTAAAAATTTTCTCCCTGCTGTCAAGACAGCACACAATCTGATATAGGCTTTACATAAAAATTCCTATTAAATATATTTTCACATTAGTTATGTTATAAGGAAGAATCAGAACCAGTAGGAGGAACCACAAGAAAGAGGAAACAAAACAGAACAGAAGAAAAATAATGGCAAATAGTATGCTTCGATCTGCATTCAAACTTCATAGTTCTTTCTTTGGATGTGGATAGCATTTTCCATCATGAGATTTTTGGAGATGTCTTAGATCCTTGTATTGCTGAGAAGGGCTAAGTCTGTCAAAGTTAGTCATCGCACATGGCTGTTTCAGTAACAGTATTTTAATTTCAATATGTTAGCTTCAGAAATTAGCTCCAGACCTACACGTGTTGTTCATGACAAACCAGAGATTTTGCAAGACAATGACAGTTTTGTTTAATTATATCATATTGGCACATTGACCAGATTGCAGAGGCTTTGTTGTGTCTTGCAGGCTGCACCTGTAGCATGTTTATTTCTTGCTTCAAGTTTTGTAAGTTTGCCTTCATAGTCCACTTAGACATCAACTTTAGATTCTGGTCCACGTGTACCGTCAATTCAAGGTTCTGATAGATGCTTTCTATTTATCATTTTTACTTCTCATTCCTAGTCAAATATTCTCACCATTCCTGCCTGCATTTCAGAGAAGTTTGAGTCTCATTAATCTTTCTTCTTGGCTTAGAATTTTCTTCTTTAAATGTTTCATAACTTATCTGCAGAAACTGAAAATGTTTATCTCTCAAGGATTCCCTTTGAGCAGAGAATTCTTTTGTTGTTCACTTGAGATATAGTAGAAACACAAATCAAGATCTTTTAAGGTTGGTGCAACAAGAAATTCATTCTCTGATAGTTCAAATGGTGTAGGAGAAAGAAAGATATGCACTGTGTAATATTAGTAGCAACCTCTGGAAGCATGACTTTGTTACATGGCAGATGGATGGTAAAACTCACTCTAGTCATCACCCACATTCAACAAGTTTCCAGCACCAGTTGAGTTTTTGAAAAAAGAGTGTTTTATAATCTATATCATATTGTACAGTTTTAGGTGTTGGGTAATTGTCTTTAAGGCCTATTTTGTAGATTTCTTTGTGTAAATTCTAGTATTGCTTGCTCCTTCTTTGATAAGCTCAACGTTCTTGGTTTTCTTTCTTTTTTTCTTTTTCTTTTTCTTTTCTTCTTCTTCTTCTTCTTCTTCTGCTTCTTCTTCTTCTTCTTTTTTTAGATATTTGGGGATAAATGACTTGCCAGGGGTCACACAGCTAGTAAGTATCCGAGGCTGAATTTGAACTCAGGTCTTTCTGACTGCAGGGCCTGTTTATCTATCCACTGAACCACCTAGCTGCCCCAGTGTTCTTGGTTTTCAAAAACTCTTGAGAGGGGGATGAATTAGCCTTATCTAGATCTTCAAGATTGTTACCTTATTGGTGAGTCCTGTGTTGCTGGTGTAAGATGTCCCTTCCTAGCCTCACTTCTACTATGGACATGACTTAGATCTCTATCACCTGGGCAGCCATGACTATTCACCTCACCTGGACTGAGCTCATCTGGGCTTGGAACCCTTTTCTTCTCTGCTTCCTCCTCTTCTTTGGTTCCTTGCCTAAGATAGGAAGGCTGAGCTGCCTTCCTTAGATAATCTGTAAAAGGTTAACTTTCTATGCTTTAAAACACCTATAATACAGAGCCATATTATTGTTCTATTGATGAATATATATTAGAGTTCTCATACTATGTGAATTAACATGCCTTTAAAAAAGAGAAGAAATTGTATGTGGTTTAATTTACATTACATCAAAATTTGTAGAATGTATATCAAAACTCATTCAGAATCTTAGATTTTAAAGGAACTCAAGATAGAACTAGGTGCATTATAAGGAAGAGTGACTCTTCCTTATAATGTAGTTGTCACTGATTCTTATGTAGGAAAAACATTCTTCCTTTGTAAAAATAATTCTTTTCAGTTACCTTCTAATATTTTTCTTTTCCCCAGTTTCTACGGATATGTGCTGATCTCTTTCGCCTGGTCCCTTTCCTGGTCTTTATTGTGGTCCCATTCATGGAGTTCCTACTTCCGATTGCTGTTAAGCTCTTCCCAAATATGTTACCATCAACATTTGAGACACAGTCCATAAAGGTAACCATAAATATGGGTCAAAATGAGCTAGCTTATGAATGATTTTTAAAATTGCTTAAAACACCTTTGCAATTCACTGGCCAAATTTCAGATGTTAACCATAGCTGTCAATTTGGAAACTTTATGTTAACTTAATATTGCAGTGCTTTAATTTTCAGCATACTTAGAGATTTCCTGATTGTGCTATTCTATTTTAAGTGAAATAATAGGGAAGCCATTTTGTTGTTTTGGAGCCAGCCATAACGAAATGGTCCATGTCTGCCAACGAGATGGCAGCTCCCCTGTTTCTGTAGATTCCTAATGGCCATTCTCTAGTGAAAAGACATTGATGTGATAGTTACTCTTGAGTGAGATACAGCAGAGCAAGTTTTCAGAATTAATATGTATTTCTGAGATAGGCCATTGTGAGCCAAAACTTCCTTTTCCGCCCCCCCCCTTTATAGGAAGAGAGATTGAAGAAAGAATTGAGAGTAAAACTTGAAGTGGCTAAATTTCTTCAAGACACAATTGAGGAAATGGCCTTAAAAAACAACGCTGCTAAAGGAAATGCTACAGAAGACTTTTCAAAATTTTTTCAAAAGGTAAATATGGTCTCCCAAGTGTTTAACTTGTTTTGTTTTAGAATATTTATCTGACTTTATGTATTTGAAGCTATTTATATATGGAACTTAAACCAGTTGTGAATTTTCATAATGTTATCTGAAATCTGTCTTTCTTACTTGCTTCCTTTCTTTTTTGCTTTAGACATTCATTTTAAGGAAAATTTTACAATGAAATTTTATTACTGTTAAATCTGAAAACTTAAGTAAGCCTTGATGGAAGGGCATTAGACTGACTTGGGTTGTAACCTTAGTCCTGCTGTAGTATAGTCATGGGACCATGAACAAGTCATCTTTCCTTTCTGTGACCTTCAGTTTCCTCATTTGTAAACTAGAGGTAATAATCCTGTTTTGTACTTATGTTTATACATAAATACAATTTACTCATAAAAAATACAAAGTCCCCACAGTTTTTTCAGTCCAGTGTTTTCACACAGTTAATTCAGCACTCGGCTAAGCTCCAATCTGTACTTAACAGTTGTTATTATAGTCAGGACTACAAGAAGGCCCGGTACAATCGATGATAGTAATTATGTCCACTCATTTTGTCACGCACATTTCCGAGGCCTCCTTAAGCGTAGTGAAGAAGAGTGACAGACTTATCTGAGAGAGAGAGTAGCAAAGCTGGGACCACACCTTGTGCTCCTCCTGCGATAGCCCCACATGTGCCTGTGCTTTTTTATTCTCTCCCACAAAGCTTCAAACCAAGAACTGTTGCCTTCTTGCCAAAAGTGGAATGGTCGCAAGGGTTAAGCAGACAGAAGCTTTGATTGGAGTTAATGCAAGGATGGAGCTGTACTGTATTTTGTTCTATTTGAGGGGAGCTGAGAAGATTTACAGGTAGTAGCCTCATTTTGATCTAGTATGAGATTCCTTTTGAAATAGGCAAGTAAGAGTTTAGTCTGTTTTTTAGAGATAAAAATTAGAGAAGTTTAGAGTTGGAAGGGATCATCTGTTCTCCTCACTTTGAAGAAAAGGAAACAAGCCCAGAGAAGTGACTTGAACAAGAGCAGGTGCCATACATTTTAGAAAGATTTCTGTCAGAAGAGTAAAAATAATTGTAAATAATAACCTTTAAAAGGGTAAAACTTCATTTCATTTGGAAATTGCACTTTTATTTAACAGTTGTTTTTCTGTTGATAACTGTACAAATAAAGTGGTATTTTACATATTACTAAAATCTGCCCATGTTTGCTCATCTCAAATCAGCAAAAATTGGACCTGTGCTAACATTTCTGCTTTTAAAACAATATTTGACTAAGAGAATTCATTATTACTTGCTATTAATCTATCAAAATTATATTTGTTAATCTGGACAAAGTAAAATATTGTTTTTATACTCATTCAACTGCTGCTAAGGCTTGATTTTTGAAACGCATTTGATGATTTTCTCATAAATTCAAAATTCACAGTCATCAAGTTAAATTTTGAGTATCCATCATTTCTTGTTGTCCTGGATTTCAGTACCAGTTAACTGAAATGCAACTGAGAAATCACAAAAGAGAGAAAGGTCTTTTAATTCATAAGGAGTCTTATAAATTGAGAGGGCTTTCACCTCTGTGAGAAGTTCTATCTTCAACCATATGTGTGTTGATATTTGGGAGGATTAAATTGAACTCCTTTTGGTCCCAGAGGGCAGAAGTTAAGGGATAATGGGTAGAAATTACAGGGAGGTAAATTTCAGCTCAGTAGATGAAAGGACCTTATAGTACATGGACTTGTCCCCAAGTAGAATGGGTGACTTCGGGAAGATAATAATGAAGGAACTAGCTGCAGCTATTGGAATGTGGTAGAGTGGATTCCCTGCTGCTTCCTGCCAGTACTAAGGCTATCTGTTCGGTGAGTAGTGGGCATGAGAGGACTCAGTTAACATTTCAGTTTGTTTTGTCAGAGCATTTTACCAAATGTAGGAAGAAGCCAAGTGGAGAGGACTTTGAAATTCCTTGTGTCTGGACTCATTTGTGCAGTCCTTGTAATTGTCAGGGTTTTGAATCCCTGTGATTAAGTTTCATTTTGCTAGGCCTTTGGTTTCATGCAAAAGCACGAAGTACAGTGGCTTCAGTTACCTGTATTGCTGTCTGACGGCTCAAACTCCATTTATTATATGTAATTTTAGCTTCAGTAGTTAGGACTATAAAGATTCCCTTGAAAAAAATTGTTTCTAGACTGTCCTTAATACAAAAGATGGTTTCTTATATTTTACATGATCAGCTTTGGTTCTCAAGCCTCTCTCTCCCATCCAAGAACATCCTCATAAACTTAGAATAAACAGGTATATAAAATTATGAATACCCAGTACATTTACATTCATTGATACATTGGTAGATTTGCTTTAGAAATGTTTGCCTGGAGTTTTGATGACAGGTAATCAACTTAGAATTCATAAAAAAAAAAATAGGTCTTTTAAAGATAGGTGCTTTCTAAATTGAGAGGGTTCATATTTCTAAAAGGTATTCTCTTCAAATATTTGAAGGACAGTTTTATGGAAGAATGATTTGGCTCTTATTTTGGTCCCAGAGGACAGCAGTAGGAGTAATGGGAGGAAGTTACAGAGAGATTCATTTTGGTCCAGTATGAGAAATAAATAACATTTAGGTCAGTTAAAAATGGAATAGGTCGGGGGGTGAGATGCAGTAAAGTTGGTTCCCATTCAGGTCTTGGTTGGATAAGATGAAGCCTTTCTAGCTCAGAGATGCTTTGACCAGTCTGGGAAACCTGTGACAGGACCCCAGTGCAGGACCTGGGCGCTCTGTTCCATGGGGCTTCAGATCTTAGACATGATGGGGAGATGGGGTTCCTGAATGTGACTGGAGGCTTGTTGCTGATTTACATGTGGCCCAGTGGAGACCCTTTGTCTCCTGTTTGGCTTGCAGATACGAGAGACCGGAGAGAGGCCCACCAATGAGGAGATCTTGCGTTTCTCCAAACTGTTTGAGGATGAGCTGACTCTGGACAACCTGACCAGACCACAGCTTGTGGCCCTCTGCAAACTGTTGGAGCTGCAGTCTATTGGGACAAATAACTTTTTGCGCTTTCAGTTGATCATGAGACTGCGGTCAATGAAAGCAGATGACAAGGTAGGTGGATAGGAGAACTGAGTAGGCCGATAGAAAACTGGCAGGGGCACTGTCTGATGTTTGCAAGGACCTTTTTGGTAGCAGAGTCTTTGCTTAGGATTCTTGTGCTTCTCTGCTGATTTATAAAGGGGGAGGGAGGGAGTTCTGGGGGTGTGAATTTTCTTCCTTTTCAAGGAAGAAAGTTTAACTGAAACATACAGGGTGTTCCAAAAGTTTTTGTGCAATTTTAAGCTTTAATAACTTCATGAGCAGAACCAGGAGAACATTGTACACAGTAACAGCAACATTGTGTGAGGATCAAAACTTTGATAGACCTAGCTCTTCTCAGCAGTACAATGATCTAAGACCGTTCCACGGGACTCATGATGGAAAATGTTATCCACATGCAGAGAAAGAACGATGGAGTCTGAATACAGATTGAAGCATACTGTTTTCTCTCTCTTTTTTTCCTTTCTCGTGGTTTATCCCTTTGTTCTGATTCTTCTTTCACAACATGAATAATGTAGAAATACGTTTAATATGATTGTACATGTATAGCCTCTATCAGATTGCATGCAGTCTTGGAGAATGGAAAAGGGAAGGAGGAGGAAAAAATTTGGAACTCAAAATCTTATAAAAGTGAATGTTGAAAACTAAAAATAAATTAAAAAAGAAGAAAAAAAAACTTTAATAACTGCAAAAGTAGTAAATAATACAGCATTACCCAAAAATCCTTTTAAAGTTTAATTATTCATATTTGTTTTACATTTATTAATTTTGTGAATTCTCACTGACAAATTTTTAATTTTAATAAGACAACATACTTTATCATTACATGTTCCATGTGTGAGTGTCTGGATGACACTTTCTCAGACCAGTGGATTGTTTGAGGAAGTTCGCTTGCTTGGCCACCTCAGTCACCTGATATATCTCTTTTAGGCTTTTTCTTACGGGGTTACATCAGAACTGACATGTATGCATCAAAGCTACATTCTGTGGGTTACATTAAGGCCAGAATTACAGATGCAATTCTTTTATGCACTGAGCAGCAGCTCCTGAAGATTTTTTACAAAGTTCTGAAATTGAATAGAGTGATGTATAGCACAAGATGGTGGGGATTTTGAATTTTAGTAAGACGTGTCGGTAGTTAACAATTTTAATAATTAGCTTTTCAAATGTTTTTTGTAAATTTGTAGCATTTATACTTCTGAAGTTATTTAAGACCGCAATTAGACTTTTGGGACAACCTATATTTTGGTTTTGGGATCTACCAGGAGTATCTTTTCTCTAATTTTCATGTGATAGCCTGTGGATTAAACTGACATGTTTAGAAATGAGAATGACTGTGTGACCCTGGGCAAGTCACTTAACCCCAATTGCCTTAAAAAAAAAAAAAAGAAATGAGAATGAGCTTCGATTAAGCTGCTCCTGTGTCACTCAGATTGTTGTAAAAGGCTTAGTACTGAAATAGCCAGTCATCTGCAGGTCAGAAGCAGAAGACACTGGCATAACCTTTTGCAGAACTGCTGTGGCATCTGCTTGTTATTTATGCCAAACCCTGGCTCACCCAAATACTGGTCATTTTCTGTTCTGTCTGCCTCAGTATGGGCTTCATTGTTTCTCGAGTATAGTTAGAATATCTTGAGTTTTCAAAATCTTAAAATCTTTGTTTTGGAAACAGGGCACCCAAAAAGGAGTCACGAGGAAAGGTATTTTTTATGACCAATTAGGAAAATAGCCAGTTTCTCCTATTGTTTCCATATTAACATTTCTCTATAGCAGAAATTCTTAACCCGAGGCCATTGAACTTGTTTTTTTTTTTAATATCTTGCTAACTGTAATTCAATAAAATGGGTTTCCTTTGTAATCTTCTGTATCTTATTTTATGCTTTTTCCACCATTACTCTGAGAAGTAGTAGATTCTGAGCCTGGGCTCTGATCCTCCCTTTGTCCTGTGATTGGGCAAGTCCTTTCACCTCTCCTAGCCTTCTGATCATTTCCAGATGATATCTAAGGACCGTTCTACCCAAGGTCTTGTGACTCTTGCTTAAAATGCTGGAGCACGGCCTGTTGGACACCCGGTACATTTCATTTAAACTTCCTTCCTTGAAATTCAGAAAATGAACATCCGTAGAGCCCGCTCCCATTTTATAAATAAGTAGTTAGAGTTCCTGGAGAAGTGCTAGAATTCTAAGTAAAAATACTACTACCAAAAAGGTTATGATTTCCCAGTAGTTTGGTTATGTCACAGGATTGAGAAGACTTGTTTCATTAGATTCTTCGAGCTTTCCTAAAGCACAAAAATTGTGGAAGACTAGAAGGCCGCCCTTAGGATTGGGGAGGCTTATTCAGATCTGCTTCTAGGGTTTGTACCCGTTGTGGCTGACTGTGGGCAAAGCATCCAAGCTACTTTAACTTCCAGGTCCTCATTTGTAAAACAGGGGTAATGATACTTATATTTCCTACCTTACAGGAAAGACTGTGAAGTGCTTTACACAGTGAATTGCACTATATAAATGTCTGTCATCATAGTTGTTGAATTCATAATTGTGTAATTATGGGGACTTGATCTAGATCAGAGATGTCAAACAGAATGTAATTAGGAAGTACTTAAAAAATAAATAGAAATACAATGGAACATAATGTTAACATGTGTTTTTCTAAAGGTCAGTATGTTGCCCACAGAGTTGTCATGTATTGTTTAGCGGTCCCAATTTCTATTTGAGTTTGACCTTGTTCTACATTGTTTTTGTAGCTTTACTCACTATTTTTATTTATTTGCTATTGTGAAAGGAAGACCCTTCCCCTGCTATCTTTCTCCATGTCTGTCATGTCATAGAGACAAGCCAGGGTACTTCCAGGGCAATGCAAGCTCTAGCAGGTCCTACCAAGGTGAAAGGCTTTGAGGATGGGCTTTGTCCACATGCTTGTGGGCACACACACATGCATCCGCACATAACTTTTTGACTGTAAAGTGAGTCTAAAAGTGAAATTTTCCATGGATTTTTTTTTTAATTAATTTATTTTTAGTTTTCAACATTCACTTCTGTAAGCTTTTGAGTTTTAAATTTTCTCCCCTCCCTTCTCACCTCCCTGCCCAGGATGGCATGCAATCTGATATGGGCTCTACATATCCATGTAGATTTTATTCAAATCTTTTTTCTAAACATCAGACATAGTAGTATTTTGGCATGATAGCAGCCCCTAGTGGCTATTATCTAAATAAAAGTAAATAAGAAAGCTTAGAACTCTTGGCCACTGATGCTTTTTTGTCCTTGGTGCTTTATTCTAATAGGCTCTATATAAAACAGAACATTATATGTACTTCCTGCCCCATGGGCTGCTAGTAAAGCTAATATTTGCTTCCATTTATATAGTGCTTTACAATGTTTTCTTACAACAACTCTGTGATAATATGTGATTTGAGGAAGAAAGTGAGCCTTCTGAGAAGTGATTTGTCTTTAGCCAGCCTCCTAGTAAGTGGTACGTTTAGAATATGAACCCTGCTCTTTAAGTAGCTTTTTCTTCCACATCGAGATGCCCAAATAAACTGATAGGAGGCAAACGTGGGTAAGAAGCAAGTCCAGAAATGGGCAACATAGAGTCAGAGAGTTTCAGGGCTCTTGGCAGTTTAGCCTGGTAGACAGGTGTCAGAAATCATTGTCTGTTTTGATTGCTTTGTCCTTTGCCACAGTTCTTCATGTTCCACCTTGCTTCTGTTTTCTCTATTTTATTTTATTAAGTTAAGAGGCCGTAGGAATCTACTAGTAGGAAAAGTCAATGCTTCCCTATAAACAGGTTCCTCTGAAAATTAGTCAAAAGAGAGTTCAGAGGAAATGAAAAGTAGAGTATTTTAGGTCCACTTCTGGAATTTTAAGCTTTTCCTTTCAGGCCTGTGCATTGATATCATACTCATTTTTCAAGATCTTTACTCATATCTCAAGTTCATGGGCTTGTGACTTTGGCTTCTGCACTGTCCTTGTCTTCTTACTTTTCTGGTAATTTCTCTTTACCAGCCAGCTTCCCTCATTCCTTATGTCTCCTATACATCATACATTTTCCCGTCACCTTTCTCAGTGATCAGGCCTGGGCCCTGTTAACATATATGTGTGTTATTCCCTTATTTTACCTATTCCCCACCTCTCCTGGAAGTTCTTGAAACTTTAAGCAAACATGTAAAAAATTGTAACTAAGACATGTTTTAACCTAGAACCATGTTTTGCTGCTGCCTCGTAAAAGATTAGACAAACCTTGATTAGAGAAAAATAGTTTATAAGCTAGAGCTTACTAATCAGTTGTGTTAATCATAGCTGGCTTCATCAAACCTTTAGTGATTTTAAAAAAACCTACCACATTTTTGAGATTATTGTATTTCATTTTATTTTACAGCTTATTGCTGAGGAAGGAGTAGATACTCTGAATGTCAAAGAATTACAAGCCGCTTGTCGGGCACGAGGCATGAGGGCTTTGGGAGTCACCGAAGAACGTCTCAGGGAACAGCTTAAACAGGTAATAACAGGCATTAGTTTATAGTTTGTACAGAATGAGGAATTGCTAACTTTTATGCAAATTAAATTGTGGATGTACTAGTTAATATGTGGGCTGTCCTTGAGAGCCACAAAGTGACCGAAAAACCAATAATTGCATTTTGACTTGATAACTAATCCCAGCCTTGTGAATCAGTTGTGCCTGGTACAGAATGGATTGGGATAATTACTGTTTTGAGATGCTCATTTGAAATGGATCCTTTTAGATGCATTTTTGTTGTCCATTTTAGCATTTCTCAAACTAATTTCAGAACTCATGAAGTCACTGGTCCTCAGGATTCTGAGGGCATACAGTAGCTTTGAGATAAAGTGGGGAATAAAGGAAAATTTAGAGTGTAAAAGAAGAGACAATTTTTATACTGAAAAAGTTCACTTGTGACAAGTATTTGTGTTATATATTTTAAAAACTCTTTTTTAAAAATGTTGCTAGTGTTTACATTTTCCCCTGAAACTTCTTTTGATTGTCATCAGGTGGCTTACTCAGGGTTCCTTGGAATACAGTTTCAGAAATTCTGGTCTGCTTTTTTAGGCCAGAAGAAACATAAATGAACCACAGTAGATCATTTCTGAACCTCAAAGCCTTACTATCTGACAGCATTGCTAATAAGGAAAATGAAGTTGGTTTCACCTTGAACCTTCTAGATGAATACTAATAAGCAGAAGCAGAGTATCTTTATATTCCACAGATACTGTAATTAGCTCCTAAGTAATCTAGAATTGATCTTATTTTTTCTTGGAAAGGAGTGAGGTAATCTTTTGACTTAGTCAGGCTAGGAATTTTCTCCCTATTCTAGAGGTGCAGAAAGAGACATTTTTTCTGTGGGCTCACTTGAAGGTAGTGGTGTGTGTGACTCTTGACATGTTGGTCCTTCCTTGAGTGATTCTGTGCTCTGAGTCCTGTGATGTGCCCACCTTCCAGCCGCCTTCAGCTCCTGGCCTGATCTGGTTTGTGTCGTGCCCTGACTCCTCCCTCGACTGTCTGCCTCATGTGCAGAAGCCTTGTAATGTGCCATGGATAGCTATCCCTGCATGACTAATTTTTCCACTCATCTGTTTATAATTTCTTATGCCATTTCTCACATGCAAGTCATTGTTCATAAATATGGTATAGGCAGCCTTCTACCACATGTCTCTCCATTGCCTTTTTTCATGATCTATAATTTATGTTCTTTGGAGATTATTGTATTTCATTATTTGTAGCCATGCAGCATTACCAACGAAATAGTGATGGATTTTTGTGTCAGGCTTAGAATCATTTAAAGTATAGCACATTTCCAAATTTAACTTAGTCTACTACTCCTGTTCCAGACAAAACTCAGTTTTCCTTACTCTCTCAAACTTGAGGACTTACTCTCTCAAGCTTGAGGACTTTGCCTCACACTTTATTGAGAAATAAAGGCTATTTACCCTGACCTCTTTCTTTTCTCTATCTCTTCATCTCAGAATGCCTTGACATTATCCTTGATTCTTTCTTCCTTTATCCCAGTCTTTGCTAATGAGGTGGCCCTTCTCCTTCCCTAGGCTAACCAATCTACATGTGTAATTCATTTCCCATCTTTTCTAGCAGATTCCCTTCTCAGTCACCACCTTCCCCTTTCCCCTCCCTGGTAATCTCTCCATCCTTCCTTATCTGTTCCTGCCCTGCTGCTTTCAAATATGCCCAGATCTCCTTCACTCTTAAAAAAAAAAAAATCTTCATTAGATCCATCCATCTCCTCAAGCTATCATCTCTGAGATCTTGAAAATCACTTCTTTGCTACTTTCAAAATCCTGACATCTCCAGCATGGCTTTCCTTTGTGTATATGTGATTTGGTATTGCCATGTTTCCTGACTTCATGTACTATTGGTAGTATTAAGAATCTATTCATATGTACACATATGTATTTGTGTATTGTTCTTGCCCAGACTTGTGATCTCATCAGTATAGGGAGTTCCCTTATGAGGAAATACCATCTGTCAATACAGATCTGCAACTGCCATGCGAATTTAATCTTAGAGAGCTGCTTAGGGCAGCAGGAGATGATGACTTGCTCAGTCAGTGTGTGTAAGAGGTGTACGTCTTGACTTCCAGGTTGACTTTTTGTCCCTTCTGTACTCCTTTGCCTCTTGTGAATGTGGATATGTATGTGTGTGTGTGTGTGTGTGTGTGTGTGTGTGTGTGTGTGTGTCTGCCTACACAGATACTGATGAATGGGATCAGGTAATGCCATCTTATAGGTGATAATGCAAAAACTCAAAGAGGTTGTCCCAAGGCTGATAAAGGGTAAATATTGCATCTGGACTCAGGCTTTCTGATTTCAAATCTAATGTTCTTTTCCTCTCAGCTGTCATGGGATTTCTGGCTTCTAGACTGCTTCTTCTCATTGGCAGCTCTTAGTCTAGGAGCAGAAAACCCAGACCCACTCTAGGTCAGAGTCTTTACTGTAGGGCTTCAGAAAAATGTATAGTAGCCTCTTAGAAAAAGCTTGGGGGTCTTCCCTTCTCAAGGATCTGGAGCACGGAAGGTGGTATGATACTTTTCTGGTCCTCTACAGTAATCAGATCTCATCTAAAATATTATGCCCATTTCTGGATCCATGTTTAAGAAGAAACATTGATAACTACAGTTTGTCTAGAATAGAGTGATGAGAATAGCATAAGAGGAGACAACTTGAAATTATGTCATAAAACCTGTTGAAGAAATTTGGGACTGCTTCATCTGCAAAGAGAAGACTTGTGGAAGGAGGACATTTCAAGTATTTGGTGTATTTAGGGATAGAAGGGCCTTAGAGATCATTTAGTCTAACACCCTCATTTTACAGAAGAGAAAACATGATCCATAGAGGCTTAAGTGTTTTGCCTTATATAGATAGTAATTAATGGATTTGAATCAAGGTTCTCTGATGCCAAAATCCAGCGTCCTGTCCCGTACGCTACACTGCCTCTTCAAAGTATCTGAGAGATCTGTAAAAAATAAAAAGAAATACTTTTGAGAGTTATTTTACTGATCCTGAATCTAATAGGCCCTTACTAGACTGTCTTTGTGTATTATGCTTAAGAGTAATTTCAAAAACAAAATATTTCATAAGATCTGTGATCTCTTTTGAATTATAGTGGTTAGACCTACATCTGAACCAGGAAATCCCTACTTCATTACTTCTCCTATCCAGAGCTATGTATCTGCCTGAAACCCTGTCACCAGCTGATCAGCTCAAAACAACCTTACAGACCCTTCCGGAGAGTGCAGTGAGTATGACATAACTAATGCAGTTTTTCTTTTAATGCAGGGGATACATTTTGATCTTAGTCTTTTTTCTGAATCTGTAAATACAAATTTCCACAAATTGTTGCATCATTATGATGTCATCTTTTAGATAGCCATTCTGATACAAATAATAACTTGCTCCTTAACAGCACTCTGTCATTGTCAACAGCAGTAGGCATTTATTGGGCATCGATTCTGGGAAGGTTACTAGGCCAAAGGAAACAGAAAGGTCTAAACCAAGCCCTGCTGCTAGGGGCTTGCTACGTAGTTGATAATATAATCCTACTAGAGAGAAATATTTGATGATATTGCAAGATAGAATATCTGAAATGAATGGTACCAGCAGCAAAGAGCTCTCTTGGAGTACTGTGATCAAATGATGAAGGACCATTTAAGAAAGGGGTACCTGGGCTAGGCTTTGGGCAGGACTTTGATTAGGCGAAACATTAGGGGAGTCAATTCTCATAATGTTACTATTTCTGTAACATTTCAGAATTTACAAAATGCTCTCCTCATGATAGCCATGTAAAGGAGGTGAGTGCAACTATTGTATCCCCATTTTACATGGAGAAAACAGATACAGAAGTGTTATAATTTGCCTCAGGCACCTTTGGTAAGTGTTGGGGCTCAGGGCTTGAACTCTGGTCTTCAGCCTCCAGAACTGGTTGGTACTTTTCCCATTGCATCAGACAGGGTGAACAGATTTTGGAGTGTTACAGATGAAGATGGGAAAGGATATCTACCACTGTAGAGATGAGGAGAGTGACCTAATAGTAAGCTTTTGTGACCTCTATTTTGAAGACCATCATATGGCCATGAGAACGGGAAAAAAATGGGACACCTCTTTCAGAGTGAAACATTGGTAAAATATAAATGCCATTCATTCACTGGCCAGCTAAATTGTTCCTTCTTTAATTGGACTAAATCTCAGGTTGGTAAACCCAATCTCACATATTTGGAACATCTTGAACAATTAGTAACATAGGTGTAGTTATTTGCATTCCACTATGGCCATTGCCTCTACTGTGTTGCTGTGTAATCCTGGGCAAGATCTGTAGAACTTAGTCATTTGTTGATGGTAAAAAAAAAAAAAAATGGGATGTCATGGTTGACCTCAAAAATTTGGTTCTGTGAATCCTGGCATGTTCCTGTACTAGTTTGCTGGAGTAGGCCTTGTGTGGGGGGTGTCATCTCCCTGTTCGTCATTTTTGTCTGGTTTTTCCAATACCAATGCCATTCTTTCTGGCAGAGAAGACAGAAGCCAAATCAGATTTAAGCAGCTCAGCCTTCTGTCTCTTGTCAGTGGTGAACCTGGCTACCACAAAGGTCCTGTCCCTTCTTTGTTACTGTAGTTCCTCAAAATAGCTTAAAAAAACTTAACACCTCCATCTCTAGTCCCTAAAATCAATCAATTTTGTCACCTTTAGCTTCCTTTGACAGCCTCCTCTTGTTCTGAGCCTTAACACACCTACAGGCCTCAGCTTTGGTCTTACATTTATCCCCAGTTACCTGGCCTGGCTTCTCTCTCCAGTACATTTCTTTTTATAATTCAAGGTGGTTGGTTATGTGTATCTATTTGATCCCTTTTCGTAAATCTCATTTTTTCCTCCTTGTTAGAATTGTTTTCCTTTATGTTTTCAGAATTTTGTTTTTGGTAGTTCTATTCCTCTTGAGCTGACTCTTGTAGAATTTTAGTCCATTAGATTCTGTCTGTCTTCTAAACTTTTGAAAAATCTTTCCCTAAGATCTTTGGTGCTTTTCAGAGTGTCCCCAGAATTCTCTTTTCTAACACAAACTCTTGAAGGGATTAGGTTCCCTCCCTGCCCCTCCCCCTGCCTAGGGTCCTAACATTTCAACTTCCCAAATCTCCTTGTTAATGAGAATCAGATACAGAATAGAATTTTTCCTTGTTGATTCTTCTAAACATGGGCATCATTGTCAGACACTCATCTGCTCCTGTGCAATCCATGTGTACAGAAATAATATTAAATGCTCTATGATATTGCCTTGCAAGTTTTTGACTCTTTAGAATTCCCATTTCTAGACTTTGACATTTTCTTTGCATAGCTACAGGAGGGAAGAAAATGTAGGGATGTTTAAAAATCATCCTGTGGTGTTGGACAGGGGGATTGGTATCTCACTTAAAAATGGTTTCCCCAGTTGTAATGGTTACAAATAGTCTTTTTAGACTATTCAGAAGTGCTACTGTAGGACCACCTGTAGGACATAGATTATAGTGTTTTTTCTTTTACAGGCCAAAGAAGCCAAAGTCAAAGTTGCTGAGGTTGAAGGTGAGAAAGTAGACAATAAAGCTAAGCTGGAAGCCACTCTGATGGAAGAAGAAGCCATTAGACAAGAAAATAAAGAGAAGGAGGAGCAGGAAAGGTTGACTGAAGCTGCTGAGAAGGCCAGAGAAGTGCTCCAGGAGGAAGCAGCTGGAAAGGTGGTTTTTGTATTTGAAAGTAAAATGGTGGTGGGCATGCTTCCTTGGGTTTTTAGATCCTTAACTTGTGTGTGTTTACTTAATCTAGTGATTTTTTGCTTTAAATGATGATGTTTTCTTGTATATTTGGAGGCTATGAATAGGAATGGTGGTATTTTGGGGCAAACTGAAAAGAGATTTTCAACTATTTTTAAAAGTTCCATGGTTTTCCTTTCTGACCCCTTAAACCTTCCCCCAAAATTTGTTCTCAAAGGTACTTTGTTTTTACTTTATCTTAATTTTTGTCCCTCATTGTGACCATCAGATTCCTCGACCACTGGCTTTTCTTCTTTATCATTGTCTTCATTGTGGCTTCATTTGTCTCCATATACAACCATGACCTCACAAACTAATTATTCACTGGTCCCACCACTTTAGTAGAATCCCTCAACTTATTCCCATCCCCCTAATCCTAATCTCTGAATAGTTCTTATCATCTCCTTCCTCCATTGCTAGTTAAGAGCTGCTGAGCATTACTGGAGGAAGTCAGGAAAAAGAACTTTATCACCTCCTACATAATATCCACTACATATTGACAATGCATAACCTTACCTTGGTCCCCAGTGTCATTTAGTAATATAACAGTTCTTTTACTGTTTTCTCATTGCCCATAATAGCTGTTGTAAACCTTTTTCTCATTACTGAATCTAGTTTCACCTCACCTGTCACATAGCCACTAATCTAGTCCAGGGATTAGTAAACATTTCTGTAAAGAGCCAGGTAATAAATATTTCAAGCTTTGTGGACCAAGGTGCAAAATCAAGGGTAATATGTAGGTATTTGTATAACAAGAAAGAAAACAAATTTCCATAAATTTTTTATTGGGGAAATAAAAAAATATAATAATACAAATTGAGTGTGTGTGTATACATACATACATATATACATGCATGCATACATACATATATACACAAGTCTATTAATGAGAAGAATGTGGTTCTTTTGGGGGGGATAAGATTTAGCTTGATTGAGAGTCAAAGTTAGTTTTCCTTATCCAAATTGATTGCAAATGTTCATCTGTTAATACTGATTTTTAATGAGATTTTTCATATTTCATCCTTGGAAATCTCTTTTCACAAAGATAGGTAATGCCAAAATAATACTAGTCCATGAACATGATTTTAATTGAACATATTCATTGCTTAGAAGGCATTTACAGAATCCTATTCGATTCTTCTTTGGATGTTTGCTTTTTGACTTGTCATTGCATTATAGATTAATCATTTTCATTTGAAGGTTAAGTGAAAAATCCTCAGTTGCACAGTTAGATGGACCTTGAAATATGAAAATTACTTTTGTACTTGGACTGAGGTTCAAAAAACATCGCTAGAATTGTAGTTTGGGCTCGGAAAAGAAATCCATTGTGGATTTGTGTGGGAATAGAGCTCTCACTTCTTGTTTTGACTTTTGACAGCACAGAAAGTGTATAAAGCAGCTTGACATTACTTGTGATTCAAACAGTGTTAGCTGTCATTGACTTAACTTTATTGCAGTGTAAGTTTTGCATGTAAGTGCTGTTTTGTTATTTTAGACTGCATTCATTAAGAAACACCATTAAGTCTGCTGCAAAAGTTAATTTCCAAAGCCATTCAGTGTTCAATATTAGAGGTTCAATATTAGGTTTCCTTTCATTCAGAAAAATTTCAGTCTCAGCCCTGAACTCAGAAAATCATAGTAAAACTTTTATTCCTCTGCTTTTCTTGTTTTGACATGATGGTTAAGCACTGGTAATTAAAAAAAGTAAGATGTCACAGTACTGTGGACCTGCAAATACTGTCGAGTTCTAAGTGCATCACTATGATTGGTATTGCATGAGTAGTGGGGTAAAGTGATGAGAATATCACATAGGGTCTCCATCCTAACTCAGCTCTGCCTTTGTAACACAAAAGCAGCTGTAGACAGTAAGAAAACAAATGAGTATGGCTGTGTTCCAATAAAGCTCTATTTTAAAATGTAAAAGCCATTCTTTGCTCACAGGCTGTACAAAAACAGACGTTGCACCAGATTTGGCCTGTGGGTTGTAGTTTGCTGACTCCAATCTCATCTTTTAACTTTGCCAAGAAGATGGAAGTCAAAGGATATTAACATTCTCAGTTCCCCACTTTTTCATCCTTCAAACACCAACATCATCATCTGTTTTCTCCGCCTTCCCTCCAGTCACAGACAAGGAACATCCTTACCCCTCAGTAAAGCTAATCTCTTTCCCTGTATCCTTAATCTCATTCCTTATTGCCTCTTCTATAATTTTGTTCCAGTAATCATCCTCCTTTTGTATATCTTCAATTTTAAGCTTCTTCCCTTCTTACCATGCATACATGTGCAGATTTTTTCAATTTAGAACAATTGTCCTTTGACCTTGCTGTCCCATATAGCTACTGTTTCATCTTTTCTTCCTTTCACTGCCAAACTTCTAAAAAGGTCTCCTGTATCTCTTAACTCCTCTCCTTCGATAACTTCTCTCTTTTCTCTTACGATCTGGCTTATGTTCCTACTACTGTCTTGGAGCTACCCTTGAAAAGAGGAGCAAAGCCTCCAAATCACCAAATTCATTAGCCTTTTTTGGTTGTCATTTTTCTTAGGCTCTCTGCAACCTTTTTTTTTTTTTTTTCTATTGAGACATCATACTCTTTAGGTTCTTTTCTTCTTAGCTCTTTAACTACTTCTCTCTGGGAGTGCTTTATAGGCTCTTCCTCTCTCTTTTTTTTTTTTAAAAGGCAATTGGGGTTAAGTGACTTGCTCAGGGTCACACAGCTAATAAGTGTCAAGTGTTTGGTCTGAGGCCGGATTTGGACTCAGGTCCTCCTGACTTTAAGGTCAGTGTTCTATCCATTGCGCCCCCTAGCTGCCCCTTCTTCCTCTACTTCTTAATCCCTTAAGGTGGGTATTTTCCCTAATATGTATCCTTCACGTTCATTATTCCTCCCTACATGCTATCTCTTGGTAGTTTCATTTGTTCCCACAGTTTTCCTTCTACTTGACACAGATGGATCCCAGGTCTAGATCTCTAGTCCTGATACCTAGAGATCCAGGCCTAGATTCCCAGCTTTCCATAAGACCCTGTGTGGTGGTCCCCATGGCATTTCAAATACAACCTTTCCAAAACTGAGTCTATAATCTTTCCACCTGACCTTTGCATCCTTTGGACTTGATCATTTCCATTTGTAGTTGTGCTTTTAATCCAATTGCTAATGTTCAAAATTTTTATGTATCTTTAGCTCTTAATTTTTCCTTAAGTCTTTATATTTGATTGGGTTTCATGTCTTGTTAATTGCAGTGGGATTTATTTTTCTTACATTACTTATTTCCTCTCTTTCTGTCACTATCCTAGTCAGGCCCTAATTATCATATGAACAGAGTAGTACAATATCCAGTCTTCCTGCCTAAGCTCTCTCCCCACCCCCAATTCATTATTTTTTTCTATTGCCAGCATAATCTCCCGTATGTAAAGTCTAGCTCAAGTTCTGCCTCATCTATTAAGACTGCTCCCTCCATGCTCTTACATCTTCTTTAGGGCCAAGCGTAATGCCCTGCACACAAACACATAATTTGTTTGTTGAATCAAATGTGTAACTTGTAGCATCTCTTTGCACTGCATTTTATTTTGTGCGAAAGTCCTAAAGCATATGATTATTTTATGCCTAGTGCTCTAGTACTTTGTGTGTGTGTGTGTGTGTGTGTGTGTGTGTGTGTGCGCGCGTGCGCGTGTGTTTTGGTAATTTATATACTTTTCTGAGTAGATGGAGGTAGATAATAGTCATGATAATTCAGAATATAAGCTAATCTAAAAATTCACTTCTATTTGGTTTAGAGATGGGTACTTTTGCATGTAGATATATACACAGATACACATATGTGCCGATACACAGACATATATGTTTATATGTACATGCATGTGTGTTTTTTATCTTTTGGGGACTTTATAACTTTCCGAAGAAAATTAACCCTAATGTGAGGACTTGACTTCCTTAGAGAAGTAAGAAACCTTTCTTCCTGCTCAGTGCTGCTCTGTTCCAAGTTGGGAGAGGACTGTCTCATCTATTAGCTAGACAGAACTCAGTAGCCTAAACAGAGGTTGCCTTGTCCTTAGGGTGTTGGCTCACACTTTCCATGGGACAGGTGATCACATATAGCCTGCCTTCTCTGAGGTGGTAATTATTTTCCCCTTGAAAAATGCCTTTACAGAATCAGAGGTTTTTAGAGTTGGGAAGGGATGTCAGCTTAGTTGGTGGCCATCTAATTCTGGTCCCTACTTGAAAAAGAATCCCTGCTCTGATGTACCCAGCAGGTGTCAGCCAGATTTCCTTGAAGAGCACCACTGAGTAACAGCTATTACAGATACCGTTACTACTATTACTACAGCTGTAGTTGTAGTGTTTTTTCACATCAAGCCTATCTTGTCTCTTTATAGTTTCTATCCATTGCTCTTAGCTCTGACACCAAACAGAACAAATTGAATCCTTCTTCCACGTGATTGTTGGCCTTCAGATATTTAGTAGAAAACTTTCATGTTCCCCTGAAGTCTTTTTTCCCTTCTAAATATTCCCAGTTCCTTTAAATCATTCCCATCTGGAATAGACTTTTAAGACCCTGTACCATTCTGGTTGCCTTTCTCTGGGTGCTCTGCATCTTATTAATGTCCTCTTGGTGCTACCCAGCAATGAAACAAATACTCCAGATGTAATATGATCAGGACAGTAGGTAGTGGGACTCTTGTCTCTTTAATCCTGGACACTATATGCCTCTGTATGTAGCTCAACATGGTATTAGTGTTAGATCACATTCTTACTCATCGAGCTTAAGACCCCTGGTTTTTTTTTTCCAAACTGCTGTCCAGCCTTGCCTCCCCATCCTATATTTGTCAAGTTTTAAATGTTTTTTTTTAATCCAGGTGAAAGACTTCACATTTATACTTTTAAAATTTCATATTAATTAGATTCAGTCCACAATTAACACATTATTTAAGTGGCACAGGTGACTTAGCATCTTTAATCTAAGTTTGTCCAAGAATAATTGAGAATTAAATGTATTTTAATGTAAAAGTTATATATAAATTATATGTAATTATATATATGACTGTATTATAGTTATATAATTATATATAAAGTTATATGTAAATTATATATCCATTATAGTCATTTTATGGTCTTCTTTTGGCCTCTTTACTCACTTTCTTTCACCCTTCCCCCATTTCCCCACAACCCAAATAGGAACATGATTTCATAATTTGCAAGGTACTTTAAAAATATTGTTTTGCTTTTTTACCTTTATAATGTGTTTTTGAAATGTTATGTATAAGTAGAATTTTTTTAATTGAATCCTATTTTTCATACATTATGTAAAGGAAGCCAGTCAAGGGTTCTTTTGTAAATTAAAGAATCGATCTCCTTAATTTGTGTTTTGCAAATCCAAATGTTTATATCATGTTTATTTAAGGTAGGAACTTTTAATAACATAACTTGTATGGTGACCTTCATAGACTGTTACCCTGGAAATATACTACCTACTACTGTGGAATTATTTTTGATTTGTGTGTGGCCTTCAATTCAGAAAGAAGCTGAGTTGGGTCCGGAAGTCCTTCGGCAGGAAAAAACAATCCCTGCATCTCGAGATCTGGAGCCAGAGCTCACCAAGGTGCCACTGAAATCAGAGATTCTGATCGACACTGCCCCAGTCTTAGAAGGCCTGAAGGTAACTGACATGCAAAACATAGTGTTTGGAATGTTTTTTCAAGGCCAGGTAGGAACTGTGTGGAGAAGTTTCAATAACTCCAGATCAGTAAAAGGTATATTCAGGATTTCACGAGATTTTACTTGACTCTAGATAAACAGAATATTCATGAAAAAAACAAATAATTTGTCCTACTTTGTAAGTCAAAATAGAGCAGGTTTGATGATAAATATCAGTAATTTTGATTGATAAAAATTTCCATTATTTTGTCGACATTATTTTGCCTTAACTTAAAAGATGAAGAAATTAAAAAACAAGAAGGTTAGAAGAAACTAAGAAGCAAATGATGGAAGATATTTGTGGCAGTGAGAAGCGAAAATGTAATTTTATGTAACCTTTACTCTCAACATCTGTTTCTCTTGGGTATTAGTAACCCCACAGAAAATGTAGAGTTGTTTTACACCCCTTGCCTCCCCCCCAAAAAAAATTCCACTCAAGAATATTAAAATGCACTTGTAAGCCCTGTGTATAAATAAAATTGTTAGGATTGTTTTTAAATATCTAAGTTGGAAGATAAGGCTTCTAAACAAGGACAAATGCAAAAAAGTAGCATGAACCTGTAAATCTAGTGTTAGGAAGGCTAAATAAAGCTCAGGATGACTTGAGTATTGCAGAAAGTGTGAAGACCAAAAAAGGAATTCTAAAAAATGAACGTTGGAAGTAAAACAGAAGAGAGAACCAAGTGCCCTGGTTTGGAGAGGCAGTACTGACAGGTAGCAGGGGTAAAGCAGCACTCCCTTTCTCTGTCATGGAAAGTGGTCTTCCAAGGGAAAGGGTAGAATACACAGTGTAACGAACCAGTCCCAGCTCAGGATAATTCAGAAGGAGGGGAAAAAGCACCTAGTCTTGCTAAGTGAACCTGCTTGATTCCATTTAGGATAAAATTGAAACTCTTCAGCCTGGCCCTACAGGCTTTTCTAGCCTGGTTTCCCTTGACTTCCCACACTACCCTCTGCTCCAGCTAAACAAATGAAACTTTCCCTCAAACTCAGCTTTCCTTCTCTGAGGCTCCACATGTTCCTTTCTACAGTTTTTCTGCCTAGCATGGAGGACACTGACTTTCCTTTCTGCCAGCACCCATCTTTTGCAGAGCTTTCCTTGATCTTCTCAGTTGTCAGGGTTCTCTCCTTCATTGCCTTTAATTATGCATGTTGTATTTTCCCCAGTTAAGAGGGTTTGTTTTACGTTTGTTCTTGTTCTCCTAATAACTAACAGTAAATGTTTGAGTTCTGGCCTAGGCTCCTAAATGAACTTGAAGATATGGTCTCATGATCTTTGGAAAATTATGTAGAATGGGGAAAGTAACAGAAAGCTAGAGATAAACAATTGTTATCCTAGCAGGAGAAAATGGATTCCCATCATCAGTTTAATCTGAATCCCCCGCAAAATTCTAGATGGGATTTTTTAAACAGCTTTTGAACATTTAAAAAAGCATATGCTGATCACTAGCCATCCAACCAGTGTAGGTTCATTAAGAATAAGATTGACCCTCTTTCCCTTTTTGCAAAAAGGTTACAAAGTTGATAGGTCAGAAGAACACCAGTCAATAAGTGATTCTTTTGGGCAAAACTTTTGATGATATTCCATGGTATCCTTGTATGTGAAGCAAGGAAACATGCAGTGGATTATCTTATCGCTGGGCAGATGGGGAGCTAGTTTAAGAAGAAGAATGCTCACAATTTATGTAGCTCTTGAAGATTTACAAAGTGCTATGCAAATGAGGATTTCATTTGATCCTCATGACAGTCTTATGAGGTCAGTGCTGTCATTCAATCAATCAACAAGTATTTATTAAGTATTTACTCTTTGCCAGACACTGTGCTAAGTGTTGGGGCTACAAATAAAAAGGTAAAAAGTCTCTGCCCTCAGGGAGCTTACATTCTAATTATTGTTATCCCTGTTTTACAGATAAGGAAATTGAGACAGAGAAGTTAAGTGACTTAGCCAGGGTTTCACAGCTAGTGTCTGAGATGGAATTTGAACTCATATCTTCCTGACTCCAAGCCCAGTGCCAGCATTAGAAGTCACTGGCAGGGAATTAATTTCAGCAGTGATGAGTCAGAACAGCTCTATTGTTTGGGGGTTAAACTGCCATCAGCAAAACACCTTGATAACCCTTGAGGGAGTGGAACACTGTGTCTGGGGGCAGAGTAGCAGCCAGCCCAAAGTGGGTCTCAACAGCCCCTTTTGCTGCCCCTCAATATTCTTGAAGACCTAGTTTTGCTGTGCTGAAGCCTGCCCAACCAGGACAGTGACGTTCACTGTAGAATGTGGCATCAGCATCTCTGTCATAGATAATTGTAAGGCAGTATGGACCAGTGCAGTAATAGCTGGATTTGGGGCCAGAAGACTTGGCTTTGGAGCCCTGCTTTGCTACTGAGTAATTACTGACTTTGAGCAAACTCTGGGCTTCACTTCCTTCATACATAAATGGAAGTGTCTGGACTACATGATCCTTCCAACTTCAGATCCTTTGGTAATGATGAACCCAACTAAGCAAAAGAACATGTAGCAGCAGCAGCAGCAGCAGTAGTAGTATAGTAGTAGTAGTAGTAATAATAGTAGTAGTAGTAGTGGTAGTGGTGGTGGTGCTAGTAACACTAGCAGTACTAGTAGTCGTAGTCGTAGTAGTAAACAACTTAAATTTATATAGTGCCTACTGTGTACCAGGCGCTGTGCTAAGCACTTTACAATTATTATCTCATTTGATCATCACAACATCCTTAGGAGATAGGTGATGTTATCCCCATTTTACAGATGAGGAAGCTGAGGCAAACAAGGTTAAGTGACTTGCCCAGAGTCACACAGCTAATTTGAGGCTGGATTTGAACTCAGGCCTAAGTGAGTCAAACTTAGTGTAGTAGCTTTAAGATGTCAGAGATGTAGAAAGACTTTGCATTAAAAAGAAAAAATTAAAGTAAAATCTCCAGCTGTTTGGGAAACAAGTTTTACTATAACATTTTTATTGTAGCAATTTCTAATTTATAAAGGTCTGGATACATTCTGATAGTTTTGGAATCCTGTCAGTTTTCTCTAATGTGTCATTTGGCTTATAAAACTGAACTTTTAAATGCTTAGTACTAGATACTTTAGTACAATGTCCTAGGGTGTAGTGAGACTCCAGAGGCTTAGTTTCCCCTTTATTTGCTTAAAATTCTATAAATTCCAGCATTGCAAACAACATTTCTATAGGCTGCATGATACTCTCTTTGCTTCTGTATTCTATAGCTACTAGAAGTTGAAACTTTTAAGTCTGATGAAATAAGTGCTTCCTCTACATTTGTTTTTAAAAATTAGTAATTGTTTTTTTTAGTGTTTTAAACACAATTTGTTTAGTGTATAGATTCTGTTAACTTAAAAGCATTGCTTATATTATAAAGTAGGTACAACTCACTGCAGATAAATCTAAATTGAAGTTATCAGTTTGAATAGCAGTGTAAAGAAATAAGGGCTAAAGTAATCTAAATAGGGCAGTCATCACCAAAAGAGCTTGTTGTAGGATAAATCCAGTGGTAAAAGGGGGCAGAAGCTGTGGCCCTTGTCCATCTGGAATATGCAGCCAGTGAGTGCTGCTGATCTGTAGGCCACCCAAAGCCCGAGAATGCCTTGAAGGGCTTCCCAGAATGGACAGGAGGGGTGAGCCTTGCTGACCCTGCCCTTGTTCAGCTTGGTGAAATGAGGCAAATTTAGTGCCTCTTCAAGAGGCTTCTTTTTGGAGCTTCCCATGTTAGGAAATTTGAACCTACTTCTTTGTATAGTGAGGCCAAGTAATTAATGTTTTCTTTCCCAAATTGTTGATACATTAAAATATTTAGAAGGTAAAGAAATAAGAAAAGAATTGGAACACCATTTTTACATATAAGGATTCACTTATTGTATAGACATGGATTTTTCTTCTCTCTTAAGATTAGTAATTTTACATTTCTACATTGTTTTCCAATGTATGGAAACAGTTGTTCAGGAAAATGTTTTCAGTTGCTACTTTTTCAATTTTGTGATCTTCAAATAGATCTGTCAGTGTATTTTTTTAAACCATCCAGTTGTATTTAGCCTGTGAAACTGGTCAGCAGATGAAGCCTGTCTTTTTTTTTTTTCCCTTCAATCAGATTGCAGCTGGAAGAGTGTGTTGTCCCCATGTGTCCCTGAGAAATTGGTGACACTAAAGTGCTTCTTGCTCTCACTCAGTCTTTTAGACAGGAATAATAAAGTTGAGTGCCAGTTTTCTGCTGGGGTTTTTCACTGGAATGTTAAAGATGTGAAACAGAGTTTTTTCCACAATTCCCTCAGTCAATGAGATATAAAATTAGTTCTTAACACAGGTGTTGTATCTGGTACTTGTTTTTTTAAAAAAGAACAACTTAAAATTTTTATTATGTAAAAGATTGAGTTTAACTTTATGGGAAGACATAATTCTTTCATAGCAGTAAATAAGTAACAGGGAGGCATGTCTTACTCTCAGCAAAAGGTGTTAAAAGGTCCAGAAAAGTTGTTGGCATATTAAGAGACGTGATGGTTTTTTGGAATTTTTTTCCCACTTGTTTTGTTCTTCATTATATGGGTATTCATTGTGCCCTTAATTATATGGGTATCTTCTAGGTAGTGGGATGGGAGGAGCTATATATGGAAGGGAAGATGATGTAAAAAACAAAGACTTCACTAAAAATGGTTTTTTTTAATGAGGTGACACATCACCTAGTTAGAGTCAGATAGTCTAGACAAAGAAATGCTGGATTGAGGGCTAGCAGATCTGTATTTGATACTGCATAGGCACTAACTTCCATTCTCCAAGTCTCATTTTCCCCATCTTTACAATGTGGTGCTATTTTAAATGGTCTCTAAGGATTCCTTTCAGTTTTTGCATCCTAAAAGTCTTCTGTTCAGGCGTCTTGTGAACATTCCAAGGGATCATCTTCTCTATACCATTTATGATCTTGTTAACTTTCATTTTATCCCTTCTGGATCTCTGTCCTCTGACATTTAATTTTGGCATTAACAGGTTTGTTTGGTTTTTTAAATTGATAACGTGGTAGTTAGACCACTACTATGAATATATATTTGAAAACTTGAGCCTGTGAAATCATCCAGGAACAAAGTTCAAGTGTTCTCATTTATTATTTGGGGCTCTACATTTTGTCCAGGGAGAAGAAATAACCAAGGAAGAAATTGACCTGCTTAGCGATGCTTGCAGTAAACTGAAGGAACAGAAGAAATCGTTAACCAAAGAGAAGGAGGAGCTCAAGTTGCTGAAAGATGATGTTCAGGAATATAAAGAGGTACCAGGAATCAGTGGGAAGAGAGATGGGGAGAACAGGAATCTTGGTGAAGAGAGTTTTCCACTTGGTTTCAAGCTCTCTTTATTGGCTTATTATTCTCATGATGGGTAGTCTTTTTTATGTTGCTGTTCTGTCTGCCCAGGGTCTTCAGGGTCCTCCAGCAGGTACTGACTTGTTGGGTTTCGGGCCTGATCCATCGTGCACTTGGGATCTGTCATCCTGAATAACTCGATTCCCCTTTCTAAGTCTATTTGCTTATCTGTGAAATGACAACATGGTTGCTTGGTTTCCTTCCCTCGCAGCTTTGTTGTAAGGAAAGTGCTTCATAGAACTTAAAAGCGTAATAGAAATGGGGGATATTTGTTAGTATTCCTGGCTCCTGTGTTAGTGACCAGGAGAAAAAAATGCCTAAGCCGTAATGAGAATGGGTTGCAGCTAGCTGGTTCTGCCACCTTTGCTGAGCAGCAGTGTTCTTGGCTGCTCCCAAGGTTGGAGATTAGGTTCACTGACATAGGAGAGGAAGAAATGGAGAACTGAGCTGTCTGTCCCTTTTTACTCTCCCTCTTCCTGGCCTGATGCTGATTAACAGCTTAGGCAGCCTGTGATAGGGCAGAAAGGAGAAGGGGAGTGGCTTCCTTCTCATAGTAAGTTTCCATTTGGTGATGGTTTGCAATTTAAAAGACAGTCTGTAATGTGGGAGTGATTTTTATATGGCTTATATACTGTCAGGTGCCATTATTACAAAATCACTTCATTGTTACCCTGTTTAATACACTAGTATATGAAAGAAGATGTAGTTATTTCTTCTTTGTCTAACTGAGTAGAGTAACTGCAGAAATGGAAGTGTTTTATAGTGAAGATGAAGATGGATTTTCAAAAATGCCTTCAGGAGTGATGATGAGAAAGACTCTACTGGTTTATGATATTTACTCCTGGAATTAAGATTGGGATAAAAGTAAAATTATAGTTCCTAATATTCTTAAATGTATGCAGTTAAAAGTCTCTGCATTACATCTCATAAATTAAATTAACATTTTAATATTAATATTTTAAATTTATAATATTAACATTAATTAATAATTTATTTCTGCTGATATTCTGGCATCATCCTCTTTTTGACTTGAAATTAAATTTGAATTACCAGTAACATATATCTTGATGTACTGTTGTTTAACTGCTAAGTTAATATAGAATGTGACTGACAGATCACAAACACAGAGCAGAATTAAAGGACATTCATTTCTTTTACTATATAATCAGAGTGGCTTTCATTTCCCAAATGTAAGGAGACAGATAAATATGTTTTTATTGTTACTTTAAAAAGAAATGTTTATTTTTACATATCATGAGAAAGAATTGAAACTTTATCCTATTTTATATAATGACTTGAAATGGGGGAATGTGTCTTAGGTCTGCTGATATTAGTTTGGTTTTTCATAAAGCTTATAAAAGATTATTTCATAGAGGTGGGGTGGGAGTGGAGCAAGCTTACATTTTTTGCTTTATTGCAATGTTCATTTTGGTGTTTAGATTCATGCTCCTAAAATTTGGCTTTAAGAGGAAGAATGATTCAGATATTAACAAAAAGTTGAAATCCAAAAAGGTTTTCTTTCTCTTGCCACTGAATAAAATTTCTGGTGATTAGAGATAATTGTATGCTCAATTGTATGTTAGTCAGGAGCAAAAAAAATATATATATACTTGTATATTATATGTATACATATGTAGAGTGTGTATGTATGTGTGTGTTTAGAGTTTTATATATATATGAGAGAGAGAGTGTACAGTTTCTGTGATTGATAACAGTGGAAACTCTTGAGTACCTAACATATGATTTTATATCTTTTGAGTGCTAATACTCTTGAATTTTATTACTTCCTCAATGTTAAGCTGTATTTTAAGTTTAAACATATCTCATGAAGATTTAATGTGTCATTTTTTAAACCTTCATCAGGATTTGCAAGAGATCAAAAAAGAGCTTTCCAAGACTGGTCAAGAACAGGTTATAGAAGAATCTAAAGCAAGCAAGAGATTGTCCAAGAGGGTGAACCAGATGATTGGACAGATAGGAAAAATACTTCATGAGTTAGAGGACGATCAAAAGGCAGTAACAGGGAAAACGGACAGTAGTAATGTCGTTGCTACTGGGTAAGTGGTGATAAATTAATTTGGACTTCGTTTTTTATAGTGGGATGACTATTTTAAGTACAATGTTACTTTCAAATATTAGGGGGAAATTGTTTTTAAAATTAGTTACTTAGAAATATTTTGCTTTGATCACTTGTTTTTGTTTTTTTAAAACATGCTTCCAAGTACCTGAAAGCTATAATGTTTGATCCTCCCCCCTACCCCACCCCACCCCCTTCATCCTACACATAGTTTCAGTCTCAAGATAATTTATTATAATTCCTGATGACTTTAGTGATATAATTGGGGCTCAGTAAATGTAGATGATGAAGAGTCACCATTTAGCTAGGAACTGTAAACATTGCTTGGATACAGAAGTTAATCAGTGACTAGACATTATTTCTGCTTTAATAACATATAAATGGTACTAGAGAAACATTTATAGACTCTGGAAATAAGAAATTGAGGAACAGATTATGTATCTTCTAGAATTCTGGTGAAATACCATAAAAATGCTTTGTGTAGTTTGCCATTCTGAGCCTTTGTTTTTTCCTTGTAATGAGTTTGTAAGGAAGTTCTGATACGATGAGAAAGATGACATGAGAGCCAGGGGAGGAGCAAGGGTGTTCATGGATGAGATGCCACTTCATCTAATTTGGTATTAATGTTTCTATGAAAATTGTTGCTTTTTTCTCTTTAATTTTAAGTTTATTATAGACTTTTGTTTACATAGCCACATCCCTAGGAATAGAAAATATCCCAGTTGTAACTCAATAATGGATTATTAAAACAATGTAAAAACAGCAGGGCCTTGCATACTGTTGACATTGAATTCCCTTTAAACCAGGTCTCTGGGTTCGGTCATCCACCTATGAGCTAAATTACTTTTCAGCTCTCAGTCTATGTTCTGTGACTGTATGATATACTTCAGTGTGGCTATCCATCCAGTTATTCTAATCCATCTGCTCTTCTGAAAGCAAACATCTCACCTAGACTTTGTGTAATGTAACCTTTCCAGACCCTTTTCTGGTGGGACTGGAGCAGGAATCCTATAAATTATGTTTTAAAGAATTCTTAGTGTAATAATGGATTAACAAAAGGTTTTATCAGATTCCCACTCTCCTAGTGAGTGCTGTGTTTAGTAACTGTACCTAGGAGTACAAACCAAAAAATGCACCAGAGCTTATACTGTATCAAATATATAGTTTTTTAAAATTCTACTTTGTATGTCTAGTCTTTGTTCCTTGTTTTTGAATAAGAAGTTGGAGAAAGCAGGGCAGAGGGTTAAAGTTAAGGGAGAGAGTTGAAAGGAACTTGGGCAGGTTAGATGGTAGGTTTAAGGTAGAGGAAGGATGGAAGTGGGGGGGTTTGGAGTCAGTTTGGTTCAGAAAGTAAAAGGAACAAGCACCAGCTTCAGAGCATGTCAATTAGATGGGAAAGAATCAGGATGTGCAAGTTAGATTCATGGGTGCAAACTGATAGAAGATTTTAATGGGAAAGCTCAAGTATCCAGTGATGTCTTAGGTTTTGAAGATTTTGCTTGTTCAAGGACTTCAGAAGTGAAGACCAGAGATCCATAGTGCCATAGGGAGAAATTGTCTGAGACTATATATAAAGTTCATGTGGTATGCATCCTTTGAAAAGAAAGTTGTGTCAGGGTTCAGTCTCTTGAAGGAAATGTATAGAAGCTGAAAACTGATTTAGGAGACAGATAACTAATTCAGATGTGATGTATAGACATTCTAAAAGCCCATTTTATTGGGCAGAAGGGTTGGTACAGTGACCCTTAACCAAGTTCCCAAGGGAAACACAACATTCTGAGCATTTTCTGCTTTTTCATGGTAGCACATTTCCAGTCCAGATGGTCATTTGTACTAATGCACTTCAGTATTTTAAGAAGGAAAAGTGTCTTTAATTTCTTACTTAGAATTTGTAACAGTTCCCTTAACATTTCCCCAATCTCTTAAGTAGAAAAGATGTTGGGACCAAGAGACTATGTAGCTGGGGTGGAATGTCTTACCCTGAATATTAATATTAATTTGGATAGGACTTTGGACAGCAGGAAACCTGTAAAGAATGTTACTACCAGCAGAGCTATTTGAGTTCAGTGGGCTGTCGTGTGGTCAGCATTCTGCTGTGGGAGATGATGACATGCTTCTGCTCCTTGTATATCTGTTTCTAGTTCTTCTGTTCATAGTAACTGTTTGCCATATACAGATTGGGTTTCCCCCTTAGGGAAAATGTCATCACCATCAGTGAGCTCATAAATGTGATGAAACAACTTGAGCAAATTCCGGAGAGAAAATTGATGAAGTTGGCTACTGCCCTGGATGAAAACAAGGATGGCAAGATTAATATAGATGACGTTGCCAAGGTAAGCATCAAGTGAGATTTAACAGTGACAAAAGGATAGAGAGTTATGTAGAATTTTTACCAAAATTGAATTAGTGTAGTTCCAGTTACCTTTAAAAAGAAAAAAGCCATGGCTTCCTCTTTTGATGTCTGGAATTTCATTTTTGTTTCTGCAAAGTGTGTATTGTAGGATACAGTTTGTACTTCCATTCATTGATGTATTTCTACCTGGCTTGGGCCCACATTCTATTGCATAGTTAAAACCAACAAGACAAGCCACCCAAACATACTGAAAAAGCTTTCATTGTCCAGGCTTCAGTTAGGAAATGTAGGAACAGATTTCAGTTAAAAATGTAATCATTTTTATTGTCTATTTCCAGTATTTTATTTTAGATTCTCTTGTCTCCTTTGAAATTATGCCATAAATTAGGGAGGTTGGGAGGGAGAGACTTTTCAAATTCATAAAATAGCAGTGTGTTAGTCTAGTAAGCAAAAGAAAGAAATTTTGACAGAAGCCTTTAGTCAGGAATATTCCGTGTTCCCTAATTGTTTTGTTCCAGATTGCTATGTTTTTGCTATGTGTTCTTTGTTGCTTTTTGCTTGTGTTATGTTGAATAGATCCTAGAAAGGGATCATACTTTAATTTCTTTGCATTTTTTCTCATTGTTAGTTGCTAACACCTGATTACTAACCTGTACCTGCCTGCTTTTTCTTTCCCTTTTCCTTCACAAACTTTTCCTGAAATAAAAATTTCAAGTGGAAATTTTCACTGGCTTTAAAAATCAAACGGAATGTTCTTCAAATCTACAACTATTCACCAGAATATTAATGTGTTATAGGGTGAGGGTAACACAGTAGGTGAAATGTATGTTGTTATTTCATCCTGTTCATTTATTTTTTTTTAAAACATTTTTCTTGTTTTTCAGGCAGTTAAGAGAAATTTAATGACAGGCCTGTAGGTCATCAGGGCTTGTAAAAAACCTTGAGCCTCTCTCAGTCAGTACTTTTTATGGGTTGTATGTTTGTAGCGGAGTTGTTATGCCTAGCTACTTCATTATCTTTTTGAGGAACGGGATTGATATCATCACACTCAGTTCTATTGTAATCCCATTTCGGTTTTCATCATTGGTTGGAATGTAATCTATCTTTACCTTGCCATTTTTGATAGTTGCCAATTGCAGATAGTTTTTTGGTTGAGGCAGTTGAGGTTAAGTGACTTGCCCAGGGTCACACAGCTAGTAAGTGTCAAGTGTGTGATCTGAGACTGGATTTGAACTCAGGTCCTCCTGACTCCAGGGCCAGTGCTCTCTCCACTGCACCACCTAGCTGCCCCATTGCAGTTAGTTTTAAAGTGTTCATCTCTCTGGAGGGAATTTGGAACAATGGGAGTTGAGAGAGTATGGGCCAGGAAGGGGATCTCCATAGTGGAGAGCTGCATTGTGGTGAGGCCACTGTTTGGTTAAATATATAGTGGAAGTCACATTAAGGGGCAAAGGTGAGCATAAATAAACACAATACCTAGAGGCCTCTACTTGAATCAAGTAGATTCTTTCTTTTTGCAAATGCTTACAAATGTGAACTCCACATTTGTTCACACTCCAGATCCTAAACTTAAAGCTGGAAGGAACCTTAGAGGAGATTGTAGTCCCATCTCCTCATTTTAGAGATAAGCACACTGAGCCCCAGAGAAGTGAATCGTGTTGCCCAAAGTCACCCAGGTGGCCAGTGGCTGAGCCAGGCTTTGATCTGGGTCCTGTGATTCCAAATTCAGGGTTCTTTCTGCTGCCCCCATAGGATGGATACCACAACATGAAACTCTGTGACTAAGCTTGTAAATTAGTTTTCAGCCACCAAAACAATGACCAAAACAATCTGTTCTACCCCTGTGGCATTCTCTGTAATAGGATTTAAAGTGCTGGCAAGTGTAAAGAAGTCCTTTCACTTCCGTGGCTCTCAGTTTTGTTTCTGTGGTATAACAGTGGTGGACTAGGTGATGTCTGAGAACTCTTCCAGCTCTAGATCAGTTGTCCTAAATTAGGAGCATGCCTGCTTTGGGAGGGATAAGCTGAATGTTTTTGTAGCTCTTTTTGTGACTAATTTAGAATTTTTAGTAAAGCTTATTTAGGAGTAGGATTACATACTTAAGTATTTTTTTGTGTTTTTCTATATGCTGTCTCACACTAGGACCTAACTAGATGAGGAAAAAAGAATTGGAGAACAGTAACACCAGTTAAGTTATGAAAATGAAATTGTAGGTATAAGTCAAGATGCACAGCCATTTTTTTGGTTCCACAGAAGCACAGGGACTTTCTAACCAAAGTTTGCAGAAGTCTTTAAATTTTTTTTTTATTATGCTTATGAATACACACATAGAAACTCTTTCTGTGGACATACTGAATTGACAAAAATCTACAGGCCAGGACTTTAATTCAGCAAGCAATTATTAAACTGTCTGAAAAACACTGTGCTATATCTTGGTGTGGGAAAAGGGCACAAAACTTTCAGATAATCCATGGTCTTCACGCTCTTAGAGTGGGGGGAGGAAGATACTTACACAGATAACTAGATTAAACAACATGATAAGCAGATGAGAGAGATGCAAAATAAAGTGCTTTGTGAGGTCAGAAGGAAAAATTAGGAAAGATTTTTTCAAGTGGGGGAGGTCACATTTGAGCTTGGCTCAGAGAGGGAGTAAGAATTCAGCAGCTCATGAGGATGGTCAGGGTTGGCATTGCAGACACAGGGAGGAACCATGAGGAGCCTTGGCATATAGCCTTTGGTGCTCCATCATAGCGTAGTTTGGTAGAAAGTGCATCGGATTTAGCAGACTTGAATCCCCTTAGAATTTCTGTGGATTTTGACAAGTTGTTTCATGGCCCTGAAATTCATTTTTCTTGTTTGTCAAATGGGCATGATAGTATATTACATGTCCAGCTTCACAAGGATATTTGTTGTGAGGACCAAATGAGGTGATGCATATGCCAGAAAGCAGGCTATAAATATGTCCCAGCATAGTTACCAAGTACTTGCACACCCATTATCTCATTTGATCCTTGTAACATTGACTGGCAGAACACTTGGTGGTGTTCCCATTTTACAGAGCAACAAAGTGATGTTCAGAGGTAAGTGACTTGATCTAGGCTATACGGGGAGGAAGTGACAGAGCAAGGATGAGAAAGCAGGGTTTCTGGTTCTGAGTCCAGTGTTCATTCAGCTAAGCTCTGACCTGGGACCCTGGTCCACTTGCCCTGGCTCCATCTGTGGGCCCTGAAACACATGGATGAACCCTGAGGCAGGAAGGAGCTGTTGTCTCGGGCAGCCTTTGCTTCCTGATGGCCATGTTGGATTCCTTTTGCTTCTCTTTTTCCTTTTATTTTCTCCCTTGTGCTTCCCCCTGACCAGGTTTCCTCTTCATCTCTCTTGCTATGCTAGTGCTGCTCTTGGTTATCAGCTGGTGTGTCATTGTTCGTAGATGGGCGTGTGGTCTGCACAGGGGACTCGGGCTTTTAGGTGGTTGTGACCCTGGAGGGCAGCACGTGCTCTGGCCCCGGCCCACTCTGGCTTTGACTCTCAGCAGCACAGGGTTGGGTGTGGGGCCCATGAGGGCCAAAAGAGGCTTCACCTTCATGGCACTGCAGAAGATTCAGAATAATTTTTATCATTGCTTAAAAGTTCATAGGGTTGCAGATGGAAGCTTCCTCAGAAGTCATTTAGTCCAGCCCTTCACTTTACAGATAAAAAAGCGAGTCTCAAAGAGGCAAAGTAACGCAGATATTAAGTAGCTGAGTCAGGATTCAAACACAGATCTGCTGACTCCAAATGCAGCATGTTTCCACTTGAGTGAGCTTGGGAATAGGTAAGTGGTGTTACCATTGGAAAGTTGTCATCATTTAACTTTGCCGTGTTCTGTTTGGGTATCTGTAGGTCATCGAACTGATTGACAAAGAAGACATCGACATCTCCACAGGTCAGGTCACTGAGATTGTGGCATTGCTTCAAAAGGAAGAAAAGGTGGAAGAGAAGGAGAAGGCAAAAGAAAAGGCTGAGAAAGAAGCTGCTGAAATAAAAATTTAAGCCTCAGCCCGCGACGCAACTGGAGCTTTGGAGAGGCAGCTTGTGCGCTGGGCAGCACGTGACAAATGCGTTCTCCTCATACTTGAACACCTCTGTGGTGGTGAGAGATGGTGATCTTACTTTGAGGTGATGCTAGTGGCAAAGCAGCTATTTTTCTGGAATAAAGCAGACTCTTCCATGATCAAATAAGTAATTTTCTATCATTCCATGAAGATGAAAGCAATCTGGACCCTCCTCCCCCTTCTCTTCCCGTGAAATCATGTATTGGTCAAACATCCCTGTGGGGTCATGATTCCTTCAGCTAGCTTATCTACAGAATACAAACCATGCCCACTGGAAATGTATGTACACACCGTGTGCGCTTAAAATTAGGTGTACCATAAACTGCCAAGTAATACTGATGGATTTAAAAGGGGGAAAGGTGGGGCAGAAAGTATCTGGTCCCATCTTTCCTACTTTGGCAAAAAATTTTCAGGTGATTTTTTTCCCTTGTTTTTAAAATGATACTTTCCTACAGATGACTTAGAATCACTCCTTTGTTTTCCCAGGTGATGTCTTTCCAGCGTTTAAAAACAAAGCTAAATTCATTCAAATTCCCACCCTCCAGATAGGGGGGCCAGTGTTTCACTTAGTTCTTATTGGGTTGGTTTTGAGGTTTGGGTTTGTTTTTGAAGCTATTTAAGATGAGTGATTTTTTTTTTGTTGTTTTTGTTTTTTTTTTGTTCTTTCTGTTACTCTGTTTTGGTTGCCCTAACAATCTTTAGATTGGGCAGGTATATTTCTGGGGATATATTCACATTCATTTGAATGAAAACTTGATTTTTTAAAAAGGAGATTTAAATAAATGTGTGAATGTATACCCCAGAAATAAAATGTAATTCAGATCTATCAGAATAGACTTCCACCAGTGTAAAACTGTAACTATTAAGAAAATTGTTTATTTTCTTCTTTGTATATGAACAAATGATATCATCTGACCACTTTAAAAATTTTTTTTTATTTTTGCACATTATGTGTCAGGGAATGATTTCTTTTTGAGAGATGGGGAATGGTTTTCATCCTAGTGATAACGTTCTTGACCAGTTAACTGGCAGGTGTGTTCTCTTACACTTTTCTAGCCTTGCATACCTGTTTTAAAATTAGCTTATCAGTTATACTTTGGAAAAAAACAAATGAAATAGGTGAATAATGACTTTTTGGGGGTTTTTGAAATGAGTAGATTTTCTCAGTTGTCCTCATTTTCAAATTTTAGCTTAAATAGACAAGAACACATTTCGGTATGCTTTTAGTTGTATATTTCTCATGAACTTGGGGCTGCCCTCTTTAAAACTATTATTTTTAAGCCCTGTGATTCATACTTTTTATCAGTTACCATCCAGCAAACATTTCCTATTTCAAGAATACTTATGCTGTGTAAAAAAATCTAAGCACTCCCCTTGGATTGGTTAGTGTTCAATTTTTAATCCCAAACTCACTTAAATAGATGATTTCTTGGATAAAATTTAAATATTTAAATTAAATTATTAGGAAAGCTGATGGTGCAAAGTTTAGTTTGATGATCACCACTTACATGTTGGACCATAGTATTTTCTTAGAAAATGTATACATGGCAGCAAGTCAAATGCTTGGTTTGCTGCCACTGGGTGTTTTTTTTGTTTTTTGTTTTTTGTTTTTTGAGGGTTTTTGAAAAATTATTTTTAGAATCATTTGTCATTAGCAGTGAAATGTTAGATGTATTGAGAATGACTAAAGCTATAACTACTTGTAAATTTTGTGTATTTGGCAGATGATAAAGAATTATAGAATGTGTTCTTTGAAATACTTGTACTGTATTTTGAAACTGGGCATTTTCAAACTGCTATTGGTAAGGGTGAGTTATAGCTCCCTTGATAAAGTTAGGTGGTCTGGTTGTTTGATTTGGCTATATTTCATATAAACTTGCCGTCCAGTACTGAAAGCAAGAGTAGTTTTAAAAATCTATATTAAAACAAAACTTTCGAACAGTGTTTTTTTTGCATGTGTTAGAAAACTTATTTTTTCACATTTATATCACCCCCAAAGCAGCTTTTATTTAATAATAATAGTTGTGCCAAATTCTTAGTCGGTCCATAATTATGGTATTTAGGTGGTGTATATTTTGGGCAAAAATCTTAACCGTCAATGAGATGGCTTTCATATGTCATCTAAATATAGGAGTATAAAAATATAGGAATAAAATAACTTCTGTAGCTAAATATAGACAGTGAGGAAAGAGAACTCAATGAATAGGCTCTAAATTGCTTTCAGTGTTTTACTTAGTGGTTACATGGCAGCTTAAAAGCAGTTAATAAGATTGTATGTTCTACACTTTGGAGAGAGAATAGTTGCATTCGGGTTTTCATTTTTTCTATTTGAAGTGGATAGGTTGGATACTTTAATGTTTATGAATCATTTTAGATTAGTTATTTTAATTTGATTTTCAGTGGTAAAAGACTGTACTACCTTATGATTGCCAAATATATCGTTCATCTTGGAGTTTTCATTTGTGAGAGACATTTCCTTGTATGGGCCATAGATTAAAATTAGTGAGTGAAACCCACAAATGTTGGCTTAATATTGCTCATATATCAGGAGAAGGGACCCTTGGCTGACCATCCCTTGGGCATTGTTTGTGATTAGAGAAAAAGCAAGCAAAGTGACTAAACTTTATGGGGCTGTGGGGCTGTGGCACAGTAGTTGATGAGGTCACTCACTTGGAATTCAAGTGACTTTTAGAAAAACAGAATTTAAAGGGAAATGAGCGTATTAATTACAAATTGAATCTAAATACTCCATAGCTGATTAAGTTTGATTAGGAAAACTGCTATCTCTGTAAGAGATACGTAACTTTAAAACATCTTTGCTACAGTCTTCTTCTTTGCACCCTGACCTTGAATACCTTTCTCTAAATCCTTATTGGACAAAAGGGGCCATGGGAGAGAAGCAGGGCAGACTAGGTTCTATAGAAGGAACCATAGACTGTAAAGCCTTAAGGATGCATTGATGGTCCTCTACCCAAGTCCCTCATTTTACAGATGAAGAAACAAGGCCCAGAAAAGGGGAGGAAGTCATCTGCCTAAAGCCACAAGCCTGTCAGTAGAACTAAGACAAGAACCTAGACCTCAGCTTCCACTAGAGCTACCAGTTATAATTCCCTTTTCTTCCTTCTTCCTTCTCTTCATTCTTTTATGCCCCCTGGTATTTTATGCACTTGACCATTGGATTCTCATTTGCAACTAGTTGTGTATCATTTTGATAGAGCATCAGAGATTTAGGAAGGGCTTTGAGTATCCTATCCATAGTTTACCTTGCCCTGTGTCAAGCATTGCTTCCTTTTTGTATGTGCACTGGCTGTTGGACTCCAGTTTATTAATCTCATCACTCTAATACAAGAGGGTGAGTGATGGACTTGGAACCAGACAATAGATTAGATGGCTCTTTAGCATGCCATGAGTGCAATAGCAACAGATCTTTTTTTTTATTTCCAAAGTTAAGATCCTGGGGTTTTTTAAATGTATAAAAATGTCAGTTTTAGTAAATTTATAACGGTGTGACACCAGGTCTGTTTGGTTATTTTTATTTTGTGTGCATATATGTGTTCGGGGAGGGAGGGAACTATACTGAATTTTATTTATTGCTGCTTAAATAAATCACCAGGTACAATTCAGAGATATGGTGGATCCAAGAATACAAAGCTTTTGTGATGAGGAAACAAAAGGGATGAGTTATGATGTGAACTTTGGGATTTTACAACTTAAAAAGTAATTGAGTGTCACGCTTTTTCATTGTCAGAATCTGCCATGTTTTTAGGAGTTTGTACAAACTTTTCAGGCTTGCACAAAGCTGAGATAGGTCTCTAAGGAGAGCCTGAATGGGTGTTTTTAAGCAGATGTAAACTATGTACCTTTCCTTTTCCCCTCTTATCCAATCTAAATATCAATGTTTATAGGAATTTTAAGAATTGGCATAGTTCCAAGTGCCATTTTGAACAGTCCAACTCCAGATGCTGCTTTTGAGATTTGACAGTTACCTGGCTATTTTTTAAAAATAGTCCAGAGGTACATGTAAGCATTTTAGGACAGTTTTTTTTTTAATTAATAGGCATATTTATGTTAATGTATCAACTCAAAATGACAGACTTCTGAACTTTAATCCAGTAAAAGGAAATATATCAAAGTGATTTAAAATATCTGCCTTCATGTTTCAGAGTGTGTGTGTGTGTGTGTGTGTGTGTGTGTGTGTTTGTGTATGTACGTATTTCAAAATGGAAATAAGTTATCTTAAGTGCTGGAACAACTAAGTAAAATGGCCTTGAGGTTTGAGATTTTTTTTTTCAACTATCTCTGTATGAGGGAATGCGTTAGTTGAATTAAGGACATACTTACAGCCTTAACTACATTTCCAGTGCCTAGCACAGTGCTCTGTGTACAATAGGCACTCAGTAAGTGTTTATCAAATTGAATTTCTTGGCTTTTGTCAGTAAGACAACAATTTTTATTTAATATGTATGAGTGACTTATTTCTCATATGCATGACTAAAATCAAAGTAACCAGAGCCCTGGACTTTTGAAATTCCTCCCTCTCTTAAATCTAATTTACTTCACTGTTCAGAGACCTTTGGATCCACCATTATCCCACTGATAGAAATGCACTGATAATGTAAAACATAACTTAAGTGATACAATGTCATACATTTTTACTATGTATTTTAAAGAAATATCAATAGTCCAGTTTCTTTGTATGACTTTCAGAAGAAACATGCTCATATGTTTTCTGGACACATTCAGTTTGATGTAAGGAAACAATATATAATAAAGGGATGTCAATTACTTTTTTATTTTGTGTTTTTTTCCCTCCTTTTTTTTATTAGTGTAGTGTCAAGACAAAGCTGAGAGTTGGTCTGCTTCCTTTGATAGAATCTCAATATGAAAGCTGTAGAGGGTCTCTGTTACCAGGCCTGCCTGCTTCTGTTCCCAATTATTTATGTTTCCTAACCACCCTAAATTTTTATGAATTTGGTGGAGATTTTCCAGTTGACCAGAGCAGCTGAGTAATTAGTTATGACTGTGACTAACATGATGGAATGATAGTCTTCAAAGTAGACCCCTCAGAAGAGTGTGTGCTTATTCTAAGGATGCTCAATTGTTGAATTCACCAAATCTGTGGTTCCCCTCGGGGAACAGCCTTCATAGCCTGTGGGCAGAATGGCCAGAATGCCCAGAGATTCCACTGCCTGGCATATACCCCATCAAGGTTATTGACAAAAAGTAAAGGCTAAGTATATTGTACAACAAAATATTTATAACAGCACTTCTGTGGTAGCAAAGAACTAGTAACAAAGATGCCTGTCAGCTGGGGAATGGCTAAACAGTGAATGTGACGATATTGTGGTGCTGTCAAATTATGATTATAATGAATACGGGGAAGCATGGGAAGCCGTGAACTGATGCAAAGTGATGTAAGCAGAATTAGGAAAACAATATACATGCTGACTACAACGACATAAACGAAAAGCACAACCCCCACAAAACAATCGTGAATGAAACTTACAGAATTATTAAACAAGTTTGCCCTTGAAAAGATCCAAGAAAATAACTCTCCCCTACTGCTTTGCAGAGGTCGGGGATCCATAGGTGTAGAACATTGCATGCGATATCAGCTTTTGATGGTATTTTGATTAATTTTGTGGCATTTTCTCATCTCTTAAAAAGCTATCTCCCCAATAGATCAATGGTTGAAGGATATGAATAGGCAATTTTCAAAGGAAGAAATCCAAGCTATTAACAATCATAAAAAAAATGCTCTAAATCACTAATAATTAGAGAAATGCAAATTCAAGTAACGTTGAGATTCCATCTCATACCTTTGAGACTGGCAAAGAGGACAGAAGTGAAAAATGGCATGTGGAAGGGGTTGTGGGAAAACAAGGACACTAGTGGTACTGTCAGCCATTCTGAAAAGCAATTTGATACTATACCCAGAAGTTACCAAACTGTATACCTTTTGGCCTAACTATACCACCGCCACTCCTTTACCACCCTTGTCCCCCAAAGAAATCAAAGTGGAAAAGTAGGTACAAAAAGGCTTATAAGCACTTCTAACCCCGATAGCTTAAAATTGGAAGCTAAGGGGCTGTCCTATTGAGGAATGCTTAAACAAATTGGGATCTATGACTATAATGAAATATTGTGCCATAAGAAATTATGAAATGGACGATTTTGGAGGGAAGTGGGAACATCTGTATGAACTGATGCAGAGCAAAGTGAGTAGAACTGGATCAATTTGTACAGTAATATTATAGAGAAAACAGAAGTCTGATCAATACAATGATAAACCTATGAGTCCAAAAGATAAAACTCCATTTGCCTCCTGACAGGCAGTGAACTTAAAATGAGGAAAAAGACATACATTTTTATACATAGCTAATATAGAAATTTTGTTTTCCCACATGTGGATATGTATTAGAGGATTTCTTTTTTGTTTTCATTTTTTTGCTTTTTGGTGAGGCGATCAGGGTTAAGTGACTTGCCCAGGGTCACACAGCTAGTATTAAGTGTCTGAGACTGGATTTGAATTCAGGTCCTACTGGCTCCAGGGCCAGAGCTCTATTCGCTGCGCCACCTAGCTGCCCCAGGATTTCTTTTTTAGACTTAAAAAAATTGACCTATGGTGGGGGGGAGTGTGGAAAGAACAGATTAATTTTGTTTTAAAAAATACTACTTGAAAAAAGTTAAAATTAAAAAGTGTTATTCACCCAAAAGATGGTTTGTGGAAAGAGGCACACTAATGTATTGTTAGTAGAGCCGCGAATTAGTCCAGCCATTTTTTAAAAAATTAATTTATTTTTGTTTATCAACAATCACTTCCATAAGCTTTTGAGTTTTAAATTTTTTCTCACCCTCCTTCCCCACCTTTCTCCCCAAGAAGGTGAACAGTCTTATATAGGCTATACATATACATTCCTATTAAACATTTTTACATTAGTGATGTTGTAAGTAAGAATTAGAACCAATAGGAGGAACCACTAGAAAGAGGAAACAAAACTCAACAGAAGAAAAAAAAACAGCAAATAGTATGCTTCAATCTGCATTCAGACTCCATAGTTCTTTCTTCTTTGTGGATAGCATTTTCCATCATGAGGCCTTTGGAGATGTCTTAGATCCTTGTATTGCTGAGAAGGGTTAGAGTCTATCAATATTAGTCATCGCACAATGTGGCTGTTACTGTGTACAATGTTCTCCTGGTTCTGCTCACTTCACTCAGCATCAGACCGTACAAGTGTTTCTAGGTTTTTCTGAAGTCAGCCTGTTCATCATTTCTTATAGCACAATAGTATTCCATCACATTCATATACCACAACTTGTTCAGCCATTCCCCAATTGATGGGCATCCTCTCGATTTCCAATTCTTTGCCACCACAAAAAGAGCTGCTATAAACATTTTTGTACATATGAGTCCTTTTCCCATTTGTATGATCTCTTTGGGATACAGCCCTAGAAGTGCTATTGCTGGGTCAAAGGGTATGCACATTTTTATAGCCCTTTGGGCATAGTTCCAAATTGCTCTCCAAAATGGTTAGATTGGTTCACAATTCCACAACCAATGCATTAGTGTTCCAATTTTACCACATCTTCTCCAACATTTATCATTTTCCAGTTTTGTCATGTTGGCCGATCTGATAGGTGTAATGTACCTCAGAATCATTTTGATTTGCATTTCTTTAATCAATAGTGATTTAGAGCATTTTTTCATATGACTATAATGGCTTTAATTTGCTTGTTCATATCCTTTGACCATTTATCAATTGGGGAATGACTTGTATTCTTATAGATTTGACTTAGTTCTCTATATATTTTAGAAATGAGGCCCTTATCAGAGAGAGTGTTTGTAAAAATTAGTCCAACCATTCTTGAAAAGCAATTATGCAAATAATATAAATATCAAAATGTCTGTCTTCTTTGACCCCAAAATCCCGCTATTAGGCATGTATCTCAAGGAAGTCAGTGACAAAAAGAAAGGCCCCATATGCAGTAAAATGTAATAGAACTTTTTGTAGTAACAAAGAACTGGAAACATATTGGATGCCAGTTGTTTGAAGAATGGCTAAACAAATTTTGATATATGAATATAATAGAACGCCACTTTGCTGTAGGTAATTATGAATATATTGAATGCAGAGAAGCATGAGAAGACATGAATTGATCCAAAATGAATTAAGTAGAATCTGGGAAACCACTATTTAAATGGAAAGAACAACAAAAAATGGAAGCAGAATGGCTGTGAAATTATGACTACACTTGACCAGAAGATATATGAGAGCACACACACACACCCACTCTTTGCAGAGATAATGAATCATTGATGTGGAGCACTGTGTATAATGTTAGATTTTTTCAATACGTTGGAGTAGTTTTGTTGAACAGTTTTTTCCCTTTTAAAAATTGTTATGGCTCTCTGATCTAGTGATAGGGAAAGAACACATTGGTAATATGGGTGATATCTAAAAAAATCAAAAACATTTTTTAAAAGCATGAATGTCACTAATAATCAGAGG